TCCACGTACTATTCGGAAATAACCATTCTCACCCCAATCTTCATTCCATGAATTAGCAATCAACCAATATGGGGTTTTCTTTTCAACACCCCATCCAATTATACGAATAGCATGTGCACCAACAACTTTATCAGTCATATTTTTATAAATTCCAGATTTATAATTTAAAAAATCTGCATAAACAACAAATACTGCTTCGACTGGTCCATATTTCATAATATCTTTTTGAATAGCTTTTTCGTGAGGAAGAACATTGTAAGAGAATTTACCTAAAATGTATAAGAAACGCAGTCAGTCCTGCAATAGGAGTTGTTTTAGTGATTTGATGATTATTTTTTTCCTTTTTTATCAAAGTACAATTTTACAGACTTTCAAATTCATAAATGTATACTATGTGTGAACCATGTGTGAACAGGAGATATGAAATGAATTTGATTGCTAGTTGGAATGGTATCTGATTTACATTGATAAGTAATTTTCAAACAAAATGCTTTGAAAAGTGCATACCAATGATCAGGTAGTTGAAAATGAATATCGCGCAAATATATCATAGGATTTCTCGGAACAATTATGTCTTCTCACTGTTCTATCAAGACTAATAGAATAAGTTGAAAATTTGTAACAATTTTTTTCAATAAACTGAACTCTATAAATAGAGAAATAAGTCTTTTATGTCATGCATACTAATTGTTGCACATAATGTCAATAATCCAAATAAGCACTTATGTATCTCAGTATCATTTGCTGGTATTACTGACAGAAATCTATTCTGTATTCTGAAGGTTTAAAACAGTTACAATATAATCGGTGTTTATATATAATCATGATGTTTGTAAAGTCTAATTGTGATTGCGACATATTTGTGTAAATCAGATACAGGACATTTTATAATTGACAATCAATTAGTAATGACTAGTACTGGGAAAATAGTTACTTACCACTATGTTTATCTTTCATGTAAGGGATTTTATAACTTTTCTGACAAGTGTGTTTACATTGAGGAGTTTTGTAGGTTTTCGCACCACATGCAGGATATTTTCCTTTACTATGATGTTCACATTTAGGGAATGGATATGGTTGACAGCCAGTGTGATTCTCTTTAGAACTACCAGTGACAATGCCTTCATCCACCCAAAAATCCCAAGCGGGACCAGGAAAACCACCTTCACAACCAAATCCACAGTCAGGACAACAGCTTATTACATCAAGAGCACTCAGTTCCACAGATTGTTTTCCATGTGATTGTATGCAGATACGATCACTGATTGCTTCTACTGCTCCAAATGCCTGGAATACAGAAGCATTTAAAATATGCTGACGGTTTTGATCATAGCATGATATTTACACAATATTACTTGTCCTTAGTTAGAAAATGGCTTATATTCAAGATTAGGTTATTCTTTGGTTGGTTTATTCATTGTAAATCGTACTGAGTGCAGCCACTCAACATAATACGGAATGATTTTTTGGAATAGACATGACATTACAACAATCTGGTCATTCATAAGACTCTCTACAAAAACACAGATATCTACAGATATCGAAAGTCATCGGTAATATGGTATTCTAATCTTTAGAACTTACCCAACATGATCCACATCGTGACTGATCACGTATCATCGAGATACTCTTACAACGAGGCCATTCCTTTCGTGAGTCGAAACTCGATGGAATTTCCACATTCCAATCACTATGATCGACTGTTGGACGTTTCTTGTTTCGCAACACTGGATCCTCTTTTCTTGCACCCATCATCATACGTGCATCATCCAATGATAGGAAACGTGTGCTTTTTTCAGCTTTCCATCCAGCGTCTGGCTGAGGAATAGAAAAGTGAGAATCAGAAGTATTGATTATTTGCTCAGGGAAAGTATTCACAGATTTTCAAGTAAAAATTATGAAAGTGGAAAACGCAAAACTGTTCAAAATGTTCCACTATCATTTATTCAGTGTTCAATCCCGAATATATGAAATCAAATAAGAAATATTCTATTGGTGATAACTTGAAACTCGGCATTGTTATCTGTCATTGTTTTAACAAGTTTTTAATTATAAAGGAATTCATTGTATACACAGTCATACAATATATCTGTTACTTCACATAGATGTTTCTTTCGCCTAGACATTTATATACGTAACTTACATGTTGATTGATATACGAGATCATTTCATCGGACAGTGGTTCAATTCTTTCACTTTTCTTCACTGAAACATGGGCTTCATTGAGAGTTAACAATGCAGCGATACACAACACAGAACGGAACATGTTTATGAATCAGTCTTCAGTGAATGCGTCTACATTGAATAGATCAACAAAGAATAACTGACTTATATAGTGAGTTGAAATATTGGACTTTGATCAATAATAGTAAGCTGTTATAATTCTTAAGTATTTTTCATACACCGCCGTCAATGTTCAATCGGGAAACTAGGGTTCAGTGAATAAACAAATCAAGATTTTTACGCTCACACATGAACATTCGACGTTGATCAACATTGATATGTGGAATGAAATTAGTGAAAAATTATTTTTATGAACTGAAATTTAGATTGTGATCTACATTCCAAAGATTAATTTGGATATAATACAAGTATTGGTACTTGAAATGTAGCTTAATCGCAAATGTTGTTACCTACTTTGATATTACACCATTATTATTTCATTGTAAATAGAAAACATATTCATTTGATTCGGTTCAACATCATTTGTGTACATTTCAAGTAACAATATTTGTATTACATCGAAATGAATCTTTGGAATATAGATCACAATCAAAATTTCAGTTCATAAATAATAATTTTTTACTAATTTTATTCCACATATCAATGTTGATGAACAACGAACGCTCATTTGTGAGCGTAAATATCTTGATTTGTTTGCAACATTCATAGAAGTTACATACAGAATTATATGAAGATTATTGGAAATTTTCGTGATAAAAAATATCACTGTATTCTGTTACGGACAAGTCACATGTAGTGCTGTATATCATTATAAAGGAAAGAATTATAGAGTAGCAAAAGTCTTATTTCCAATCCATCTCACAGTAAAACGTATAGTAAAATCCTTTCATTCTTGTTAGTTAATTTAAGCACTAATCAATCCAAACCTTCCATACAAATTACGAATGAACCCTGTTCAATGGAGACAGTTTCCTATCTAGTTCAATCAGTGAGGTTGCGTAGTATCAAGTATTTATTAGAGTGAGACATCAACACCGTTAGATGTTGGTACAGTGGTCTTCAGGTTGAGCATTCGCAAGTGATATCGAAGGTGCTTTTTCAAATTTAAAGAATTACTAGAAATAATTGAAAACAGCCATGATCATGGGGAAGAATCTGCACCGAAGAATCGCTCAAGATGCAGTACCTACCTATTGCATCATGTTTTCAGTGATATCGTGACTGTTTTCCTGAAAAGATAGTAAATGAATAGATTTATCGTTTGCCGTATGCTCTGAGTCAATATATAATATAAATCAACTGAGATAAGTGTTCGACTTGTCGAGGTTAAATTTTGTTTCACTATTCATTTCGCCTCCGTCAAATCAGCATAATCATATGGCATTTTGTGAAAGCTTTAGTAGAGTGAATAAAATGACCATGAATTATTGAATGGATTTCACTGAAAATAATTCAGTAATACATATGTTTTGTTTGTATGTGCATAAATTGATTTTAATACCATTAACTATATTATTCAAGGTTTCAGGACATTATTTTATTAACTAAATAACGTTTAATCATCTCACCATTTATTCATTGTATTACCGTGATTGATTATCCGCGTAATTTCTTGTCTAATAGTATCCGCATTTTGTTGTATCGATAATATCATTGACTATTGTGAAGTTGGGTGTGTGTGCGCATCCTAACCCTCTCATTACATATCTAACCTAATAATGCCCCACTGAAGATACCCATTTACCTTCATCACCTCGCTTTGGTTTGTTCTGTGTGTACGTTCTCATTCCCTTGTCCGTCTCACTATATGAACTGCATGAAAAAATTGAATTCGCAACACCTGAGCAGAAGAGCGTTTCACCTTGACGTATTTTATATACGGAGATGGAAAGCAACATTTATTTCATCACATCCTCACTCGACCAGTCATCCACTTTGGAGTCAAATCACAAGTCATTAAATTGCTGAGTCCTACTTTCAATTGAAAACTGAACACGGAAGTATTACAAAGTTTGAATCTATAGCGTTATCTACTACTAAGTAAATTGCTACTAAAATTTCAAAGTGCTTTTAGAAATGTTGCATAATAAATAGAGCTTAGACTAGAAAACATTTCTTATAATCTGTTACTAAATGTAACAGAGTGTAACATCACAAAATGCGGAAGGGTAGTATATCTGACCATCATAATGACGGTGGGGCGATGACCTCATCAGACACAATGTCTGTGGAGCAAAACAACTTGTTTGCTTGCAGCTCATTATTATTTGGTGAGATGTAACTAATCAATGATACTGATATTACTTTCCGTGTCCAACACGTTTACGACTCATGCTTGTATAGGTGCACTGGTTTCACTGCCTACCACGTAATCTTAATACAAATAGAATTGGACAAATATGGTGAGAAAGAGCTCATTCATAACTTCCTCAACTAGAGCGTTGAAAATCAGTCATTGAAATATCACCAAAGCATCACATCAATTTGCCTGCATAATTTTATTCTGTAGATAAACACAATTTCTGACAAATTGGCTATTTCGAAATTCCATTATTCATCGGATTATTTGCCCATTCTAGTGACGTGTCTTCATTACCCTGCAAATGTGCAGTATTACAGTTATTGTTTCAATGCAAACAACGGAAGGTTTGAGAGATCACACCTTATTCTACTTGACCCACATTTACTATTTCGCTTTTTCTCCATCTCATCATAGTCCTTACATATTACTGTGGATAAGAGCGAAACACTTGGCTGCTTTACACAGAAGCCTGTCAAATTATTACCTCGTGAATACACAGAAAATCACCATTGCACATTTACCTCTTCAATCCGTGTTATATGCAAACCGGCATTTACCTTGCACTGCTTCTCAACGATCTGTTGTTCGCAGAAATGTAGCCGTGGTACATTATACAGTCTCAAACATTATCGATAATTTTATTTGATAAATGTCAGCCATCTATAGGTAGTTAATGAACCTAATGTAATATTTACGCAACTAATCAACCTTAATGAAATGTTGCATAAATAAGATCTTTAATCTGAGTGAAATTCATTGATATCTGACTGCTAAAATCTTCTCTTTTTCAAAATGTATTCGCCCAAATGTGATTTCGGAATAAACTCGATAGATAGACTAGTCAAATGATTTTCATTGCAACTTTCATTTTCTGGCATTTATCATGACTATGTGTGACTGTTTCCGCGTAAATGATTAAATATTTCACATTGAAGTTTTATGTAAGAGAACATGAATTTGACAAAAACCATGAAATGTGCACATGAAAATTATCGAATACAAAGTGTCGTTTGTTGCTCTGAATCTCTTGAACAGAACAGTATTTAAGTACTTAACCTAATTTCAGATATCATAAATCTCCTAGAATGAGGGAATAGTTTTGCAAATTACTGACTGGCATGTGAAGTTATTTATTTACTTGATACTATAGTGCTCATCCTTCATATTTGTGAAAGAACAAATAATACTAATTTGAACTGCTTGCATAATGCGGAGACTCGCTCAGTAAAAAAAAAAAAAAAAAAAAAAAAAAAAAAAAAAAAAAAAAAAAAAAAAAAAAAAAAAAAAAAAAAAAAAAAAAAAAAAAAAAAAAAAAAAAAAAAAAAAAAAAAAAAAAAAAAAAAAAAAAAAAAAAAAAAAAAAAAAAAAACAGTCATATTTCAGCTTGACGATGTATAAAGCGATATGAGTGTCACCAAATCTTTGCCAATAGCTCAAGTTTTAAATAACTGTTGATTTCATACAGCAAAGTTATGCATTTGATGATAAACAGGAGTAAATGCTACACAAAATGATATCACAGATCTTCATTTGATTGTTTTCTTTTCATCTCATCGATTACGGTAACATTAAGAAGGCGTAACATAACTTACTCCGTCCCGTATCCTGCATAGTCGCACAGCACCATCCAAACATAGTGTGTACATACCGAACACAACAGACCTTACTGATGTTTGCAAAGTTATGGTTTAAAAGTCATTTTCGAAAAAACCTGATTCAATAAGAATGAATAATTTGATCAGAAGTGTGATTTATTGTCTATTCCTAAATAGAAAACACAATTTCAGTGAACACTGAAAACCTAATATGGTTTTCCAGGTTTACCGTAATGCAGGTAAAGAAGCGGGAGATAAGGAATTTCGTTTAAAGTAATTTAGCCTCCGAAAACATACTTAAGTATTCCTTTCATCATTCAAGTGTCAGATCATATAATATTAGCCACTTAATATACATCATAGAATAAACGACTTTGTTGTTGTCAAGAAACTGTCCACAAGTAATAACCTGTTTTGAATTCTAACATATGATCGTTTCATTCATTACCAACCAACTTAGAATGTGTTTCACATTGTTTTGATAGATGATGTGGTTTGATATCATATTGTATCATTTAAAACATGTTAAGTGATGCATTCTAAAAGCTCACTGATCCAAAAATATCATTCTTCAATTCACTGATATTTGAAATTTCATTTGATCGAGTGAGCTAATAAATTGTATCAATGGACTTGCATCAACTCATATTTGAAACTCACGTTTGGTGATGGAAATGATTTTATCATATTTGTTACTATTCTTTTCATATGCCAACTGTGGTTTTTCAAATTAACAC